TTCCTCAAGTGTCTTATGATGTCTCAGTTAATGTGTAAGCAACCAGTTAATCCTCTGGCATTATAAACACTCAGTGGGTGTTCCATTGAATATAAGCAGAATGAAATAATTAGATACAAAGCTGGTATGACTTTTCAGGAAAGAGGGCTTTTGCTTCATTGCTAAAATTGGTAGGATTGACTGTCAGAAAAGTATTAATTTGCCACTTGCATTCATGCTGATGGATGCCCCCCTTTGTTTTGATGGTATTTCCAAAAGAGTACCTGCTACCTTGAAGGTTTTACCATCTATGGTAACATCTTTAACTCAGACCCTTGCTTAAAAACTGTAGGAAAGAAAAACTGCATTGTTCAGGGCGGTGATTCAGATTGGGATGTTGAAGCAAGTTCCATTCTTTAGAGTTCCTTTTTGGATTTATTATAGGCTGCACGCAGTGACTGCAAATCTAGGTGTTTGTTTTGATATCTTGCTGTAGAAGAGTAGTCAGTGCACCCTCTGAATCCATTATGTTTCATGGCCTCTATCCTAGGGAGGATTGCTTTTTCTGAACTTGTAAATACACTTCTTTTTTTAGCCAATTCTTTGCAACTTCTGCTTTTTCTTGCCTTTTTGTCTCCTACAGCTAAACCTCAGTAGAGGTTTAGGGTTGTTTATGTGTATAGTAACATGTTAGTAGCATCAGTTAAAAAGCTAAAACTGTCATCACATGTTTCACGTTCTAGCTTTGTGAAGTCATTATGAAAAATCAAGTGCCACAATAGGGCTAATCAAATTCTGCAGGATCCCAACTCCGGTGCAATGTGAAGTTCAGGCTGATACTGCATGTGTGCTACATTAGGGGCTGGTACACTTGGGTGTATTTGTTCTTGGTTTTGGCTTCCTCCTAGTGTAACCCTGCTCAGGGGGCATCATGGCCCCTGTTTGTGTAAATTCTTGTGTTCAGAAAAGACTCTCATGCATAATTAATTCCTGGGACTAGATGGAGTGTGCGTACTCAATGTTCAAGGAGCATTTGGACAATGCTCTTGCATATATATGGTTTTAACTTTTAGGTTGCCCTTGTGGAGTCAAGAGTTGGATTTGAGCCTTATGGGTCCCTTCCAGCTCAGGAGAGTGATTCTGTTCTCATTTCAGGCCAGCTATTGTAGACTGCTGAACAGGTTCCTTGCAGGCTTTCGCAATACATTCACTCTTGAGATAAAGCATAAAATAATACTGTTTAAAAGCCACCTGTGAACAGTTTCTCATTATTTGCATTAATGTTATTTGGATTTAAAGGCATCTGGAATCTATTTGTAGCTCACAGCTTCTTTGTAATACCTGTTTTCTTGTGGTGGTGTTTTGTGTTTTATTAATTGCTGCCTGCTCCCACAGTGAAGCTGTTTTTCTTACCAGGTTCCACTAGCTTGCCATTCCCATCCATCTTTTGATCTCGGTGCTGCTTTTGTGGCTCCATAAATCTGTTCCCTTCTATCAATATCTTAGTTTTCACTGAGTGAAGTGTAAAAGAGTGGAGTGGAGCTGAAGAGGGCAACTCCTCCTTTCCCCCCTCTTCCCCTCTCCATTTCTGCGGAATAAAACTTTCCAAATACAGTTTCTGTGGCAGAACCTTGTTTTATGCAGAGTAGTTAACTTTTTTCCTTAGCCACATGGGTGTTTTCTAAAGGCTTTGAACAAACTGATTTTATGTATGCAGTGATACTGACGCAGAACTCCACGCAGCTGGAAGTTGCATAAGCAGAAATGTGATGATTTGTACAAACTTGAACTGATTGCTAAAATGGTCTTCACAGACTGAGAGGTTGAAAATGGGCAGTGAGAAACTGTGTGTCAGATCACCTTTGAGTGTAGGTAACTCTTCACCTTCCCCACTGAAGTTGGAATAATTTCTGCTGTATTTTCTGTTTTTCAGGGTCTGCGTGTATTGTGATTTGCTTTACTGATACATAGTGTTTACTCTCATGTTCTGCTTTTTATGCTAGCTAGCTAAGTGTTCTAGCCCCTTTTTAACACCTAAAGCAGCAGGAATTTTTTCAAATGGAGTGTTGCTTTGTACTGCTTGCCTCAGTTCTTCAGCAGCAGTTATATAAAAATGCATTGGCTAGATTTAAGCATGAACCCAGTCACCTCTAGTTCGGTTTTTGGCTTTAACACATCTTCCATTCTCAGCAGTCAAAAAAGGCTGTGAATTTTTGTAATATTAATGCTGATAGAAGAAACTGGTATAGGAGAAAGTTCTTGTGATGTGTCCAGATTGTTGTCACTAAGCTGTAAGTAGGAAATGAGCTGTCTTGTATTGCACAATGCTGCTCCTTAGCAAGCTGCCCTGTGCACAAAATCTCCATCGTGCTAGTGCTTTGGCGAATCGTTAGTGTCAGCAAAGCAGATGTAGATATGAGATTTGCCTTGAGACCTTATGGTGTGTTTACTGGGGGACGGGTGGGACGGACACGACAACAAACCCAACAGCTGAATACCCCCAAACAAAAAAGCCCCACTAGTAACATTACAAATGCAGCACACCCTCCATTGTGATTGATAAAACCCCATATGCTGACAGCTTTTGATTATCGAAAAGAATGCTTTCATGCGAGTTGTGGGGCATGTTCATGTCTTGTCAATCTTATTTGTACTGTGACTGTCACGTCTTACATAGGTTTTCTCAGAAATACTAATCTTACCACAAATATTCGATAGCTTTTGAAAAAAGTAGACTGAAAGTTATACTGGAAGTACTTACATGTGGGTCTGATAGCATTTACTGTGCTTTATGTGGTGGAACCACAGTCGCCTTGTGAGATTCTGCCAAGTCTAGCAGTAAATGGAGATCTTTTCCGTGCCTCCTTCCTTTGCTGCAGGGGATTGCAAGGCTACACCTGAAAATCAGGAAGATTAGAAGTGAAATGCTTACCCGTGAGACTTAGTGATTTGAAGGGGTTTGTAAAGTGATTGAAATAAAGTCTTTGCAAATGGTGTCGCATTGTCTTCAAAACAGTCAAGCACCCAGATGACTTAGAGGTGTTGAATACTCATAGTTTAGTAGCTGGGGGATGTGACAGATAAGCTGTGATATCCTGGAAAATGAGGCTCCTGGCAGTCCTGTGTTTGCTAGCTATGTGGGGGAGCTTTTTGTTCTAGTGAGAAGTGCTGTAGAGGATGGGGTAGATAAGCATTGATGTATATGCTGAACTGCATGGAATAGCACAAAGCGAGGGACAGCTGCTTCTCACCTTGTACTGGAAGGGAAGAAAACGGTATATAATGAGCTGGTTTTAGTGGAAGCTGCTGTGGCAGTTGGAAAAGAAAGATACAGTTCCTGTGAATTCTGTGTGGCCAAGCCAGTGCTTTCTGACAGTTCAGTTGTTTAGCTTAAATGATGGCACTGACCACACGTTTTTGGTTTTGAGGTATAGAAGGAAACTGCTTTAAAATAAGAACAGCAAACTTTATAGCTGCCTGGAAACTGGATGTTAAATAACCTAGATCTGGCCTGAGTGTATGCACAGATAAATATGCAGATGCATGATGTCAAATGAAGGAAGAGCAGGGATTTTTTGCTGAGTGGTCTATTGTGTCTAGGAGTGGCTTTTTAAATTCCAAAGTACTCCCCCTCCTTTAGATTTAATGACAATCCAGGTGTGAAATGAGGAGAAAAGAGTTTACAGATTATTTACTGGCCACTATCTTTTGCATGTCACTTGCTGAGGAGTAAAAGAAAGCAAGACTGGTCAAACCAGAAGAGGCCAAGGGTCAGTCTAGCTTATGGGCCTGGCAGTGACTGGAAATAAGATGAAGAGCAAGTACAAGGTGTACTTCTCCAGTGTGCCTTCCTGACTGCTGTTGCCCTGTGACTTCAGGAGCTCTGAGGCAGTACTGGCAGATGGGCTTTTAACAGTGATTGTGAATCTTTTTCATGAGGTTTTTCTGGTCTTCCAATATACTTCTGGCTAATGAAAGCATCTTCATCAATGAGTTCTGTATCTCACTTCAGTGTAATCTTACTTTCTTACTAATTCTGAATTATTTTCTAGTCTGACTTCCCAACTTAGGGCTTGTTGCTTGTACATTGATATACCCCATGGCTAGTAAACAGGTAAGCACCCCTTCAGAAGGGTGCTTGTTTTCATGTTGCTCCTTGCACCTTTCATTCTGACAGCTGTGGAAGAAAGAGGGGTTGATCCGTTCCTCTCAGTAAAAAATGGAGATGGGTTATAGAATAACCTTTGCTACAGCAGGGAGAGGTGCACTTACAATTCCTGGTCTTAAATAAATAGGAAACCTCTCCTTTTTCATTTCTTCTCTGTTTCTATTTCCTTCCTTATTACACTTTCACTTTCTGGGGCCATTCACTTCCTTTTCCAGTTGGAGAGAGGAGAAAAAACTATTGGAATTCATGTTCTCTTATGTCTGCAGAGATCTGAATACCATCAGTGCAGTAGCCTGTTTTGTCAGCCTCTCTCCTAGGGAACAGCCAAGTGAAATGGAGAGAAACGAATCGTGTACTTTAAAATTCAGCTCTGCCTATTATGTATTTGGAAGGTATAAGAATGTGAGTATAAAAGCTTGAAACTTAGTTTAAAAATAACTGACCTTATCATATAGCAATTTATTCTATACCCTTAAGCTCACCTTACTAACAGGAAAAAAATGTTTCTCTGCCAAGCTGAGGGCTCAGATTCTAATTACTATACAGACCAGTGTTTAAAGGAGACTTAAATGAGGAACAAAAACTGCTGGCTGGCTTAGAGACAGCAAAATGTTCTGTAAAATTCCTAAGCAACAAATGGCAACTTTACATTCTTGCCAGCTTTTTGTTGTGCACACCTACATCTAGTAGGCACAGTCTTAGGTTAGTTTTTGCTGTTGTGGGGGGTGGTAGATAACCTCTGGTTTTAGGCTACTAACTTGCACATTCTTTGTCTGAAAGTAGTTTGCAGGTTTGAGATGAAGGACTTGATAGGAAAGCTAAAAATCTGTTGTGTTTTTGTTCCTCTTTCCAGATATGAGAAATGAGTGTTGGACGCAGAAGATTAAAGCTGCTGGGAATTCTGATGATGGTAAACATTTTTATTTATGTGATTGTGGAAGTCTCAAAAAGTGGCGGCCAAGAGAAGAATGCAAAAGGACGTGTTATTATACCACGCAGCAAGTTCTGGAGGAAATACACTCCTCACAAAGCGTATTGGAACAGACAGCAACAGAAGCTTGAGCTGCTCTACAACCCTATTCTGACCTTACTTTCCAATATGACTGTGGAAGAGAACTTAGTTTCCAATGCGAGTGTTCTCAATTCCTGTGACCCTGACCCATGGGTAGCTTCAGAGGTTAGTGACTTTGCAAACTTGCCAGACAGATTCAAAGACTTTCTACTGTATTTGAGATGTAGAAATTATTCATTATTAATGGATCAGCCAAACAAGTGCAAACATAAACCTTTTTTGCTGCTGGCTATTAAGTCGCTTACACCGCATTTTGATAGAAGGCAAGCCATTAGGGAATCCTGGGGCAAGGAAATCAAATCAGGAGATGTGACTGTCAGAAGGGTCTTCTTACTTGGACAGACACCACCAGAGGATAATTTCCCTGATCTTTCCGACATGATAAGATTTGAAAGTGAAACCCACCAAGACATTCTCCTCTGGAACTACAGAGACACTTTCTTCAACTTAACTCTGAAAGAGGTGTTGTTTCTCAAGTGGGTCAGCAGCAGTTGTGCAGATGTCCAGTTTATTTTTAAGGGTGATGATGATGTTTTTGTGAATACCAATCAGATCCTGGATTACTTGAAGAGCTTAACAAAGGACAAAGCCAAAGACTTATTTATAGGCGATGTGATCAAAGATGCTGGACCTCACAGAGAAAAAAAATTGAAGTACTACATCCCAGAAAGTGTTTATGAAGGGTCGTATCCTCCATATGCAGGAGGTGGTGGGTTTCTGTACTCTGGTGATCTGGCATTAAGACTTAATAATGCATCTGACCAGGTACTCCTTTACCCTATTGATGATGTTTATACTGGAATGTGCCTTCAGAAGCTTGGGCTTGCTCCGGAAAAACACAAAGGCTTCAAAACATTTGATATTGAAGAGAAATACAGAAATAACATATGTTCCTACACAAACTTAATGTTAGTACATAGTAGAAAACCTCAAGAAATGATTAGGATTTGGACACGCTTGCAAGATCCACACTTAAGTTGTTAAGGCAATGTGCGTAAGTGTCTTAAGTACAAATAACTTTTGCAGTTTGGGTCTGACTTTCTTGGTGGACCAGTGAAGCTCTGTTTTAATAGTTAAATTTTCTCTGAAAACCTTTTCCAGTACTTCTGAAGATAAGAATAATACTAAAATTTGACTTGATGGCTTGAAGACTTGGTCCTGACTTTTCCACTGTCCTGGTGGTCATTATGTTTCAATATTTGTCTTAATTTGAAAAAGGACTTCAAGGCTGTAACTAGCTGTCAGTGACTGGTTAGCTGTATTGGAAACAGGGATTGCCTACTACAATGCATCTTTTGTGAACTGTGATGGTGGAAGATAATTTTTCCTTGAGTAGTGTCTGTGTGTGGGTGCTTGGAAACCACTGTCAGATTGAAAATTCACGAATTGGAAGGATGTAGTTTTAAGTATGAAACACTCTTACGAGACTTCAACTGTTGGATTTTGTAGTTCATGGGTTTCAGTCTTTTTGCACCCTGGAACAGTGTTTTTCTCCTTTACTTAGGATATTTTGTGCAAAGCGTGCCTGCGTCTGAAGGATTTACCCTTTTATTAGATAATGCTGTTGGGAACACCCCATAAAAGAGCTGAATATATAAGGAACAGGAAGGACAGATTTTGTTTGGGGCTCGGCAATAGGTACAGTTAGGTCTGCTCCAAGCATACAGGAGGTAAAGCTGACTTGTTGCTCATGTTATTTTTGTGAAAAGCTACTCTGGTCAGTCTTTGCTTTCTGTTTTGGCACTAAATGTGGTCAGGTAGCTCAACTTGATGCAAGTAACTGAAATTGCACATTGCTTACGAAAGCATGGTTTGGATCTCCTATAAAGCGGTAGCAAATCTAGAATTGTGCAGATCCTAAGAGTTTGGGATTTTGAAACAAACTTTGAAGTTGCATGATGTCTCATGTAGAGTTAAACATGTTCTCAAAACTCAGAACTTCTGTATTTCCACATTTGCTTATAAGAGTTATTCTAAATAGTGGTTGCTTCCTTTGTATGTGTAGAAGTGCCTGTCTATTTATTGTTCAGATTGAAGACCAAAACATTTTCTTAAATATATTTTGTGTAACGTTTTATTTGTATAGTGTTGTCACTCGGATATTTAAATAGAGCATGATATTTTAAATCTGAGATGTGTAACATGTTAAATAAAGCTAATTGTTATTTTTGAATTTGAAAAATAAAATGCGATTTAAATATTTCTTGGAATGCTTCATTTGAGACATAACGTTGACTTGCAGGGCAGTTGCGCTCTACTGCGTGGCATTCAGTAACACCACATTTCAGAAGCAAAAGGCTCTTATTTGGCAAATTAATGCTTGTGTAGCAGGCTATCAGGAAACTGTCGTTGCAGTTGTGCATGGATTTGTTAGATGCTGTAATAGATGGACAACTCTGGCAAAAGCCAGGGAACATGAAGTGCCGTAGGAAAAATAGTGTGTACAGAAATAATTGCCTGTACAATAACACTGCTTGTACAATTGAAAGGAATCAAGGAATAGATTGAATGGCTGGCACTTCAGGTTTTGCTTGAAATAACTTGGCAGCTACAAGTTCTTTGGTTCCTTCACCTGCTTTCTTCTTCCTTCATTGACTTTAAAGAAGGTGATTTTTTTTTTTCGTCTGGGGAAAGGTGAGGTGGTCTTCTCTTCCCACCTTCTCTTCATGATGACGCCAACCAACATAGATTGAAGATGGTCTGTGCTCTGGTATTGTGTTGTGAGGTTTCGCCTCTGTGCCTTGTCGTTCCTCATAGGGAATTGCACCTGTCTGAATGAGCTGCAGGTTTTACTGTACGTGTGTTGCTTCCTGGCCATGCTCAGCACCTAGTTTCCTTTTAAATATTAGTGGGATTTTTGTCAGGAGTTTGGGCCAGGTGAAAGGAAAGTTATGCTGATGATGGGGAATGCAAGTGGAGATAGAGTGTTAAGATTCTATATGGACTACAGAGAGAGGAAGAGGAGGGTACTGTGGAGGGGCAGAGACATGGTGGGGAGAGAGGAGAGGCAGGTGAGCACTAAAGGTAGTCATGAGGACAAGGGAAGGATCAGGCTTGACCAAGAGCAGGTTGCAAGAACAAAGGGACAGGAAAAGAGCCCGAGAATTAAATCATATGAGTTAAGAGAGGGTGGAGTGCACATGTGATATTAACCTGTTAGTGAAGTGGGTGGGATTGGTGGAGTGGCAGCATTAATTAATTACTTCATACCCTTCCTGTAACCATGAGATTAAGAACAGGCCTCCTGTGTAGGACACAACTAAGGGAAAACAGGCTGAGTGATACTTACCAAGGAGGAATGCTGTGAGAAAGCATCTACCTGCCTTGTGAAGAGATAAGAGAGGAGAGAAAAGACTGAGCAGGTGGCCTCAGTGGGCTAAATAAGTAAGAGGTACAGCTGAAGAAATTGGGCAGACTGGTTTTGTTTATGCTGGGTGTGGAGACGCACTGGTGACTGTACTGTCCCATTGGATCTCCGGTCCACTCCCATGGAGAAAGAATTGTCTTGATTAAGAACTGGGAGTGTGTGGAGTAACAAGTAAGTGAAATAAATAAGAACTGAGATAAGGAAATGGAAAGCAACCAAAAGAAACAACATGAGGTGGGAAAGGGATTTGGCGACAGATGGGAACTGGAAGATGAAAAGTCTTTAAAAAGCAGATATAGTATTAGGCTGTTGTTTCTTGCTTTGGTTGTGTTGCATTTTGTTTGTTTTCCTGGTTTGTTAAGGTAATTAAATCGTGAATCTTTCTATTTTTTTTAAATACAGGATGTTTTCCAATGAAGCAAACTTTGCGTTGAGGAAACAGTGAACAAAAACTGGTAACTACTATAAAATAAACAAACATATGAATGACTTTTGGAGTTACTTTAGTGGAAAGTGATCTGAGAAATAACAGGGAGCTAAAAATGGATACTTTTTTCACCCCCTTAAATTTAAGGGAGAGGAAAGAGTCCAGTAAGATTAAAGCATGAGAAAAACTGACTACAATGGGAGGTGTTTAGATGAGGCAAATAAATGTGGATGTAGTCTTTATTTTTTCTCTTCCCTGAATACAGCAGGGAAAATGGAAGCACTGCTCTGATTAAATGACATTGCATCAGAGTAAGCCATTAGAATCCATTAGCTTGTTTGTATAAAGGCTCAGGCCTTCTAAATCCAGTTGGGAGGAGGAATTGGAGGCCTTTGGATAAGGTAAATGAGCTATAATTAATGCCCAAATTACTGTGTTTATCTTCTAGAAGATGGCATTCCCTTTTTCCTAAATAAAAAACATTCTGCCTGTCTACTTGGACTGTCTGCACCTATTCTTGAATCCCTTCCCCCTACCCAGTTTTGTGTTGTTATGTATGCTTGAGTGAAATGTGCCACTTGACTGGTGATAAGAGAATTCCTGACAATCCTTTCTGCTTTTCAGTGTTGGAAGTACTGAAAGCCGAACTTCAAAAGAGCTTTCACTGAAGAATGCAAGAAAAATGCAGATTAGAGTTTAGTTAAAGCTTTTGCTTTAGGTATGCAATTCAACAAGGATCCCCACGCAGGTAGTTCTTAATTTGGGGTTTTGTGGTGTGGCAGTGAGCAATCTAGCTCTTGTCTAGTGCTCCTGTGGTGCTGATCTAGTTTACAGTAAGCAGTTTACTCGCTGGAATCTGGCCTCCTTTCCTTTCTGGCATATTAACACCTCATACGCATAAGATTTCAACTGTAGTTGTGCTTGCCTGAAGGCACCAATCCAAATGAATTCATGTCTACGCTGAACTATTTCCTTTTCAAAGAATGACCATGAAACCAACTTAGCAAGCAAATAGGGCAGGGAGATCTGCTTAATGGGCCCTTTTTACAGACAGTAATGGGCAAGAGGTGGTCTGAAAGGAGGGGTGTCATTCAGCATGAGTACAGAACATCACCAAATTCTCTTCAGCCTCTTCCTCTAAATTCTTAAAGCTCTTGCCCTGTTCCTTGCTGGATGAAGATGAGATGAGTGGGAGTGAGAACTTTAGTAAAGCAAATGCAGTTCTGGAAGCTGTCATGGCCAACAAGCCCCATGCTACCCAGACATCTGCTAGTGGTTTTCTCGAGAATGGAAGCTGAATAAAGACAGGGTTGCAAAGAGCCACTCTTGATCTTAACCTCTCGGGAATAATTTGATGTCTCGTTTTCCTGTAGCTCCACATACTACAAAGTGTATACTGGGAAACTTAATTACAAACTGTATACTGAGAAACTTAAGTGTATTTTCTAAATGTCAGGGATGATTGAGGACTGAGCAGGTCAGGTTTTCTTTTGTTGTGCTCAATTAGGTCTTTGGTTGCTACTCAGTGTAATATTGGCTCAGCCTGCTCAAAGTAGTGTTCAAACAATGCTGGCTAGACTCTGCGGAGGGGTGGTTGTTTGCACACCAGCCTTTTGAAAAGACAATCTGTTTTCATTCATCAGTGAAAACACTTGTACCGTGTCTAGCATCTGACTGAGCAAATATGAGTTGGACATCTGCTGATCTTGGTGTGTCAGTCTTCACTTCAGGGTCTGTTATCGTGTAAGTCTGTGTGTTGTCAATTTTCTTCTGTATTTGTGTGTTATTGCAGTAATTTAGTTTTATTTTAACTGCCCCTCAGCCTAAGGACTTCAGATCATGAGTTAAGTACTTACAGCTTTGCACCCTTCCCTGCTTCAGGGACTGGGGCACTTGGCAGCATGCAGCTGCTTTGCTCTCTGAAGAACTATCAAGGGAGGTCTCAAAACTTGTCCATGTAAGTTTATAACCCAGATTTCCTTTCCAGCTCAGGAGTAGTCTGGTTGGTCTGTGATACTGTCGCAGAGGCCTGGTAAGGGTCACTCAGTTCTGACCACAGGTGGATTGGGATGTCAGTGTTGTGGTGGCTCAAAGGGAATTCATTCAGCCCCAAAGGACAACGAAGAGATGGGATTTCTGCTTTTGGGATCTTTCCTGTTGCTGTAAAGTTACTGACCTTTGGTCAGGTCCTTCTTTCAGTCTTACCCTGCTCTCTCTGGGAGGGGGGTTTGTATGAATGCATAGTGAATGTCCTGTTACAGATTTATCAAGATAGAAATTTACACAATCTCAAATTCCATAGTGAAAAAATTCCAAATCACTCCTCTAATTCCTAGGCTCCTTGACTTTCCTCTGCTTGTTCAGCTAACGACCTGTGTCATTTCCAGTCGTCCCCCCTAAGCTCCCCATCTAAATGCATCCGTCTTTCTTCCCTTGTGACATTTTTGTCCCCTCTGTTCTGTGTTGTCTCAGGTGTTGGTGGAGACAAAGTGCTTCCCTCTCCAGTAAACCTCGAGGTTTACTGAGAAACAGAAACACCTCTTTGGATTCACTGGAATGGTTGGATTTTCCTCCCTCTAGCAGATGGATTTGGATGCTCTCAGACACAGTAGTCTTAAGGTACTTGATGATCTTGTGGCTTCATGTTCAGTGACACACCTTTGGACTGTGGAGGAGAGAGAGTTTGGACAGTGTTCACTGGGGAATCACCTGGGAATTCAGCTTTAAAGAAACCCTAAACATCACTGACTTGGAGCCTGATTCAAACCATTTGAGTCAGTGGAGTAAGGGGTGGGGGGAAGTGCTGAGCTGCAAATCAAGCTGTAAACTTTCTCATTGATTTTAGAGTTACCTTTTGTGCTGCCATTGTATCTTCAAACTAAACTACTCCAGGGCAGATTTGGAGAGAGTTTCTACAAGGGTTAGAACTAATCCCTAGATATATCCCCTGTTAGCTTTTAAAGCCAACATCTGCAGCTCGGCATTTGTTGTGGCTGTATTTTTGTGTCCCTTTCCCCTCTTCCTCCATCCCTCTGGCTGAATTTTGACCGAATTCTGCTTTTTGCTGTTTATTCTCTGTGAGGGGGTTGTACGTGATTCATTCATTTGTTTCCTCATGTGGCTGAAATGCGTCATCTGTTTTTTCTCCACTACTCCTACCACTACTACTGATATTCCTCCTCCAGAAAAGCCAATTATCTCAGGACTGTCTGAATTCTGTCTTCTTCTGGGGACATCACATGTGTGATGCTGGCAGACCATCAAGAATGCATGTGTGATGAGCATTTGATAGCCCTCTGTAAAAACTGTGATTTCCTTTTAAGAACACAGTCCTTTACATGATAAATTGGAGCTGTAACTGCAGAAAACAGCATCATCCTTAAAGTCCCTTCTTTTCAGTTTTCTT